CAGACACACCATCTCTAAAATACCTATTTTTACCCATCTTGAATCTTACAAAGATGCATCCTCACACCCAACCCCTTGTCAGAGACCCTACCAACCTCCTTTTCTTTCCTTCTCGGACTGAATACTCCGATCAGGACTGTCCCATAGGAGGAACAGCTGAGTCTGGGGTCCGGCACCCTCAGAACTGCTCACCATCCATGCGGAGTGCAGCCGTCAGCATTTCAATGCACTTGTCCCGCACCGAGTCCCCCGTGAGATAGCAGGGGGCCAGGAAGCAAGGGCTGGGAGAGAATGAGGGGCTGGTGGGGGTTCGCGGCACCTCTGGTTTGGCCTTGCTGCTGTTGGCTCTGCAGGGGCACATGGAGGAGGATGGGCAGGCGGTAGAGTCCTGGCACAGACACAGAGACCTGCCAGGGTTCCTTGGAAGTGGAGTGGGTCTCTCCTACCTTTCCTCCTGGCTGTCACTGGAGTTTCTCTGGGAGCTGGTGGGAGCTGGAGAGAGGCTGATGCCCACAGAGGCTCTCCTGGGAGTGACACAGTGGGTAGGACACCAGAGATGGGGCAGGCAGGACAGGGGTCAGGGACTGGTGCCAGGACCTCAGGCACCAGCACATCGATGAGAGCGCTCGGAAGCCAATAGGAATCTCCCCAGGGAAGGATTTGCTCTTCCCAGGGAATATCCCAGTGCTGTGGCAGGATCAGGGCTCCCAGACACTTCTCACCCCTTCCATGGTCAGGGCATGCCCAAGGGGGATCCTAAAAGCATCCCCAAACTGCCCAGGGTCACCCCCTCCTTACCTCTCCCCTAACAGTCTCTTCTGTGGGGAGGAAGAAGAGGAGATGGTTGAGGACCTGGAGTCAGCAGAGGCTCTCCTGGTAGAACAAGCCCCATGTCAGAGGGCAGTGACTGGGACAACTGGTGGGTCCACCCCGCTAACCACATCCCAGTGAGGGGCTATGGTCTGGCCTCTCCCATCTTCACCCAGAGCAGCACCCACCTCTCTTTCTTGCCATCCAGAAGTGATTTCTTGGAGGATGCAGTGTGGCTCCAGCCATCACTGGACTCTCTTCACCACGGAGGCCCAAAGGGAAGGAGAGAAGCTCTCAGCCCAGCATACTGTGGCAACCTGGGAGCTGGATCCTGTCCATCTGCATCCCCCATCCCTGAGTCCCACCCCAGGCTGCCAGTGAAGCCTCCCCTGGACTGGCAGCACCTGGCAGAGCCTGGCATGAGGGTCAGGGTATCAGGTACCTCTCCGGGCTGGAATTGGCAGAGTGGCCCTGGGTGGTGGTGGCATGAGAGTCACACTTGCTGGACTTCCTAGGGACAGAGAGCAGAGGTCAGATAAGCACTGTTCAAACTGATCTCATGCAAGGAATAATTAGTTTTAGAGAAACTAAATGGGAAAACAAATGGCCACTTCTCCAAAAACTGCCCTGGTGTTGTCCCAGAGGCAGTTTGTTCTCCAGAGGTGCTGCTGGCATCCATGGGTAGGCAGAGATTGATAAACTCTTAAGGCCCAAGCAGAGGGTGGTCTCATATTGGCCCTGGTGTCTCCTGACAGCAGACAGGAGCTCTCACCTCTCCTTGTGCTTGTCAGCTGTATTCTTGCTGTGCTTTACCCCTTCATTGGGGCAACGAGAAACATCCAGCCCCTTCTTCTTCTCCTTGTCTCCATCTGTGTCCTTCTCCTTCTTGCCATCTGCATCCTTCTCTTTTTTTGTGGTGGTGGACTCTGGGGGAAGGATTTGGGTGTCACAGTCACAGCCCAAACCAGCACAGCGCACCAGGCATCCTGGGGTGGGTAATGATTGTGGAGATGCTCGGCCCTTGGTGGGGCACACAGTGATTTACACCAATCTATCCTGGAGTGAAAACAAGTCCTTGGAAGATCTGGGTTACAGGTTATAGGAGCCTGCACATCCTAGCTCTGGACTGATTCCACTCCATCCACCCTGAAAGCATTGGGGCTTGAGGTGCGGAGATGCCCCAGGGAGGGCTGAAGCTTTGGGGGGTTCTCGCCCCACCCAGCATCACTCACCCAGAAGCCGCTTCCAGTTTTTGATGAGGATTTTGGCTGAGGCTACCACCTCTTCATCCGAGCAGTGTTTCCGCACTGAGTTCACAGCCACTCCGATCCTTGTGGTCTGGGGATGCACACCAGGGACACATCCTTAGGGATGTGCTGGCTGGCATTGGGCACAGGACAAGCTACCCTATGCGGTGTCCCCCCACCCAAACCCCCTCACCTGGAGCAGCTGGATGGTCATGGTGTAGCCAGAAAGGGACTTGAGAAGATCCAGTGCCCCTTCCTGCAGCAGGGAGAAGCCATGGGAGCCCTTGAGGAGGCACCAGGCAGCACCGGGAAGGGCATGACAGAAGAACCCAAAGCAGCCCTGGGCTGCTCCCTGGGATTGCCTGACCCTCAGTGTCAACACACTGATAGGAAAGTCCCACACCCAAATTCTGCTGGACCATCCCAGCACCAGGTCAGGTCTCCAGCTGGGTAGCAGGAGCTTTTCTTAAAACTTGGGAAAACCTCATATGCAAGAAAAACCTGGTGGGAGCTAGGGACAGCTGGGGGATTCCCCAGTGTCCCCTACCCAAGGGTGAGAAGGTCCATGGCACACAAGCCCCAGTATTTCATCCTGACACCCTGTAGTGGCAGTTGGGATAAAGATAGTCCAGCATGGAGCCTTCCTCCTCCTCCCTCTCCTTCCTCTTCCTTCTTGTCCTTGCTATTTTTAGAGCCCCAGCAGCAGACACCAGCTCCCAGGTATCTCCCCCCGCCTCAGGACACAGTTCCATGGACTCCCACCATGAGGGGCTGCATCACCCCCCCCACCCCCGTTTGATGGGTGCAGGGACATTCTTGAGCTGTAGTCGGACCCTGGCTCTGTCCCATCCCAAAGTGCAGCAGGAGAGGTATGGAACACCCCTGTCCCTTGACCCCCTGGGTAATTCCTGGAAGCAAGCAGAGCCATGGGATCTGGTTTGATACCATCCCAAAAAGCCACTAGATCCAGAGAGACAGTAGTGCCGCACCCCCAGCTAGGAGCCTGCACCTTGTCAGGGCAAAGGCCGGTGGAAATAGTCAAATATTAACTCTGAGGGATGGGCTTGGCACACATAACTGGTTCACCAGGATCCCCAAATGGATCCTCACTTGGCACAAGGGTGGAAAGGCTGGACCCCGGCTTTCCCAGCACACAACCACCAAAACCACCCAGGAAATAGTGACTGACCCATTCCCCTCCTTTTGCACACTTGTGCAACAGGCAGGGCTGTGCTGGCTACATTCAGGGTGCTATATCCCCCAGCCCAGAGCTTTTCCTTGCTTGTACATGAGCCTCTGGCCCTGGCCCTGATCGGGTGTTGGTGCACAGGCTGGGGGCCAAACACCTGTCGTCCACAATCCAGCACTGCCAAGTGGCTTAGAGTTGCCACCCATGGGACAAACCCCCCCCCTTACCCCCAAATCCCAGTGTCTGAGAGCAATGGGGTACAGGAGAGTCCCAAATTAGAGGCAAAATTAAATTCCCTGGGTGCTGACTACAATGTCCTGAGGTTGGGGTTGGGTAACACAGGCAGCACCCCTTAAACCCACTAAGTCCCTCCAGGGACAACACAAGCGGTGTGAAAAGCGCCCCCCCTCCTTTCCCAAGCCTCACAACAGCATTCAAACATGCATGTAAACCAGCACGTGTTCAAATAAGCATGTGTGTAAACATGCACACCTACAAATACATATGCGTGTAAATAATGCACGCCTGCAAATACGTATGTGTGTAAATATGCACAGACGCCCCGAGGAGCTCGGCCACCTTACCGTGCTCTTCCTGGCCACCATCTTATCCAGTTTCTTGGCAATACGGACCAGCTCCTCAGTGGGCCCCATGGCGGGGGCTCCAGCGGAGCGGGACGCTGGCTGCGGGCACAGCTGGGCACTGCTGACATGGGGGTCCTGGGCAGCCAGGTGGGAGGGAGCAGAGAGGAGGGGGAAAGGGGGGAAAGGGAAGGGAAGGGAAGGGAAGGGAGAGAAAGCAGAAAGGAGGTGGGGCTGTCCCAGCCAGTTATAAACTCCTGCCAGGAAAGCGAAATAGCATGGGGGAGGGCTAAATATAGCAGAGAGCCACGATTGCAAGAGCCAGGGAGGCGTGCGTTGGGGCGCTCCAGGACTCACAGCTGTGTCAGCTTTGGGGAGCCCGGGCCACCGAGAGACGGGGCCCAGGATGGCGCTTCGTCATCGGGATGGCTTAGCCAGGGACTCCCAAGGGGAACGGGTACAGTGCAGTGTGCTGCAAACTCTGTTTTTCCTAAAGTTGGTGTCCTGCAGCAACAAGATCCCTGGGGGAATAATCTTTATACTCCTCGTATTGGAATGTTCCAAGATATGTGGAATTTCAATATATAGGAATAGTTCTTATCTTGAAGTACTCCACATATTGGAGTATTTTGGTACTGAGAATATCCCATCCCTGGAAATGTCCATGGTCAGGCTGGACAGGCTTGAAACAACCTGGTCTAGTGGAAGGTCTCTATGTCCGGGGATGGAAGGAACAATCTTTAAGGCCCCTTCCAATATTCCACGATTGTGCAATGACAAATGACACTCCAACATGTTCCACAGGCATTGAGGTGAGCAGAGCCCTGCCAGCTGATAGTGTGCCAGCCTGAGGTAGGAGCCAGGAGCCCCTCAGGCCTGGCTGGATGGGCAGCAGTTTGGGGCACAGACCATTGGGATATGTAGGCGACACAAACCTTGCCAGCCTCACTTGTCCCTGCTCCACCACTCACATGGGGTGGGTGTAGGATGAGCATCCTGCTCTGGATCCATCCCAGCACATTGGGAAGGTGCCCATGCCCCAGCCCAGCCCTACATGGCTACCCCCACGGGTGATCACAGATGCCAATGACTGAGAGCCTTGGGGACACAGCAGCAACATCACCATGCTGGGGCCTGCCAGGCCAGGGATTGTACCCCAAACACACCCCCAGGTGCTTAAAAAATGATGGTTTATTAGAAAACAGACAGAAAACATTTTTAAAAAGACTTTTTTGAGATGAAGCATTTGACACACAAATGAGAAGGGTAAAGTGAGGGGGGATGGAGGCAGGCTCCCAAGGGACACTGGTATAGGGGTATTCTGGTCCTAGAAAAAGCTGCAAAACCCCCTCTGAGAGCGCCCCACCAAGGGAAGGGGTGGTGATCCAGCACCCACCCCACATGAGGGACATGGGGAAGAGGCTCTGTGGTGCCACCTGAAACATCCCCCCACTTCCAAATCAGGGAATGGCTATCAGGGAATTTTGCTATCAGTTTTGGAGAAACTTGGGAGCATTCCTAGACTTTACAAGTCCAGCTCCCAGAACCTTGGGTGAGGCATGGACACGAAAAACTGCCACCCTCCTATTTCTTGCCCATCCCAAAGGCTTCACAGTTGGGGTACAGAAGGAGGCTGGCAGTCCATGGCTGCCACCAGGATGAGGAGGAGACTTCATGACTATCTGGCAGAGGGTGGGGGACACCAAATACAACTCACCCATCTCAAATTCCTTGCAGAGAAGGAAGAAGAAAACGCAAGGGATGGGCAGAGCCCACAGGAAGGAGGGAAGAGCAGAGGGAACAGAGACTGGCACAGAAACCTCAGCCCACCAGCACTTCCATTCTCTGCTCCTCAGCTCCCCACTGCCGCCATCCATAGATGGTTTTCCCAATGCAGGGGGGTCTTCTAGGTCCCCTTGGAGGGTACTGGTCTCATGCCAGGATCCTGGGCACAAGTCCCTTGTGGCCTGGCTCTACCAAGCCCCAGCAGAGATCTGCCTCTAGTCCCAGCCAATGGGACAGTGACAAATGGGCCACCCCTACACAGTCAGTCTTGCAAGAGGTGGACAAAGCTGGCAGGGAAGACTCCAGTGCGGGTGCCATCACCCTCGATGAAGCCAACCTAGGGGTGCAGAAAGAGGGTTCAGAGAAGTACAACAATTATCTTGAGATACCAGCTGCAAAAACTTCTCCCCTACTCAATTCCAAAAAGGATTTAAAAAGGTGAAGCTGCAGTGACACATCCGTGTCACACAGTGGAGCTCTCCCAGCCCTCCTCCATACACACATGGGGTAGGAGTCCCCCATCCATGCACCCCCCGAAAAACCCAGCCTCCTTCAGGAGAGAACTGGAGGAGGAAAAGGACCAGGATTTGGATCCCAGCACCTGTCCATGCCATGGTGACTCACCCAGATCTGCTCGTCCTCCTCCCGTGTCACCACAATGACCTCCCCCTTGGAGAAGGTCAGCTCTCGCGCCTTGTCCCCCTTGCAGTCAGCCACTGCTTTTACCCGCTTCTGCCTCCCCTTGGCCTGAAATGGGATGAAAAGGGTGTGACAGACCCCGCCCCAGGCCATCCAAAAGGCAGCAACAGGGATATGACTCCCTCATCACCCCATCTGCCACCCCAGGATAAGAGGAGCTGGGATGCTTGGGGATCCAGAGAGGAGGATTTGCACCTACCGGAGCAAATCTCCTGGGCATGGGCACAGGGGGCACCTTGCTGAGAGCAGGATCCTCGGGGCCACCAGGGCTCTGGGGGGACCCAGCCGAGCCCATTTTGCCCACCATGCCACTGATGCGCCGGTACGAGCGGGTGCTCTCTGAGCTGTGGGTGACAGCAGGAACAGTGTCATTCCCCCATCTGCTGTTGCCTTCCCCCTCCCTGTTCTCCTTCCTGCAAGGTCTCAGGGCAGTCAGGGCTTCCCCCCATGGGAGCTGGATCCCACCTGGATCCACCAGCCCCTGGATGCTGATGGAAAGGGTCCCCAGCACCCAAACTCCTTCAAATGAGCCCATCCCACCTCATTTTCCCAAAAGAGAGAAAAAAATACACATGATAACTTGCAGAGGATCTTGATGTCCTCCCAAATAATCTGCGTCATTGTCTCCAAGGAAAACCCAGCATCCTCACAGCTGCCCTTGTCTCCTGCATCCCAGGGTCACCATCAGCTTCTTTGGAAACCCCAGAGAGAGGGGACCCCTTTGCTTCGCAGTGATCCTCCATGCCCATGGGGGTGGCAGAGGTTGAAGCTCACTCACCAGCACCGTGCAATGACCCCCAACACCAAGTGCAATCCTAGTCTGGAGCAGGGTCCCTACCTGAACTTGACAGGGGGGATATCAGGGACTGTGCTGCCTGGCAGGGGCTGTGTGGGTGGGGGACTCCGCTCTGGCCCCCGCCGACTGCCACTAGTGTCCATCTCGGAGCGGGTTTCCCAGTACGCTGCCCGCTGGCTCTCAGTGGGGCTGCGGGTGCTGGGGGTGCCATCCAGGGCACCCGTGCTGCTGGCACAAGGCAGGCTGTGTGATGCCAGTGCCTCTGCTGGCACAGAGAAGTGGGGCTCTGATGCCTGTCGGGGCAGTTCAGAGCGCTCTGGGGGAACAAACAAAATGGGGACAATAAACTTGGTATCTGGGGGAAGGCACAGGCCCACTATGATGACCCCCCACTCTGACTCACCAGTGGGGCTGTGGCTGGGTTTGGGGTGAGAGCTGCCCCGTGTAGGGTTTTTGAGGGGCAGTGGTGGGGGAATCTCCTCGCTGTGGGCCCGGCAGGATGCAGGGCGTGAGGGCACCAGGATGCTCTCATAGGTCTTGTTGGTAATGTCCATCCCCATGCAGCTCCAGCGGGTCTGGGGGCAGGTGGGCAGCAGGCTGGCAGCTAGTGGTGATGTGCCCTTGAAGGAGCGCTGGAGGGGGCTCACCTGGGAGCACACACAGCTTCAGGGATGTCCCACTGCCAGCAGCCCCCCGCAAAGGGTCTGTACTCCCCCAGCTCCCTCACTGGGGATGTGGAGGACCCCTCACCATCCCATATGTACCTTCTCCTCCAGCTCATCCTCGCTGTCATAGGGGAATTCTGATGGGGGCTCCCAATCATAGTCCACATGGATTTGCAGGGAGAGCTTCCCTGCCTGCGCCTGCTCCAGCTGCCAGAGGGATGGAGCAGGTCAGGGGGATCTCAGGATGGGGCAGCCCACAGAGGTCTCAGCACTGGAGGGACACATCCCAGAAGACCACCACCTTCATGCCAGCCCTCCTCAGGTGCTTGGTCCCCTCTCCGCACTCTGAGCTTCTCCCCCATTCCTCCATCCCACCTACCAGCTCCTCACACTCGCTGTACTTCAGCCTCCTCGCCACATCCAGAGCTGTCTCTCCCACCGCATTCACTGCCAAAGGGACAAAAGGTGGACAAACCCAGGTTGCAGCCTTACCACTCCCACCAACGAACCCCAAAACCCCCACCCCAACTTCATACCTGTGGTGAAGGTGGCTTTGCCTTTCAGGAGCAGCTTGAGGCAGTTGGGCTGGTTGTAGAGCGCACCATAGTGCAAGGCCGTGTTCCCGTCCTGCGTCACCCGGTCCAGTGTTCCCCTGTGCAGGGCCAACAGCAGGAAAGTCAAGACTTTACAACACACAAGCATCCTGTACATTCCTCCCGTGAGGGAGAGGGACAGGGAACGCTGGGAGCACTTGGGGACGCACCCGTTCTGGATGATGAAGTCCACCAAGGGAAGGGATGATCTGTCAGCGTGGCGCACGGCCACGTGCAGCGGCAGCTCACCTGCATCCTGCCAAGAAATGGGAGGGAGAGATGACCCTGAGAATGCTCATCTTTCCTCAGGACAAAGGGAAAAGAAGTACTGGATCCAAGAATGCTCATTTTCATCCCTAAATGGAGGGAAAAGGAGAGCTGGACACATGTATGTTCATTTCCCCCAAGACGGAAGGGAGAGGAGAGCTGGCCTCAACAATGCTTCTCCTGTGCATAGGAGAGAAGAAAGCAGGACCTGAGGATGTTCATCTTCCCACCAGCACATCCCTGCCCAAAGCCCAGAACAACCCTGAGCACAGCCACCCAGAGAGGGAAAACCATTCCCTGTCAGGTGCAGGCCTCACCTGACCCTCAGGGCTGGCCAGGGGCTTGGTCAGGTCATGCCCCTCGGCAAAAGCCTTGAGCAGGGCCAGGAGGTCACGGGCTTGAATGGCTTCCCAGAGGCTGTGGGGGTTGTCCTGGCCGCTTTTCTGCACGTAGCGTCGCTCCATGTACTTGGCCATGATGTATTCCTTGCGTGCCGCCCTGCCGGAAGTGGGGTTTGGATAGGCATGGAGCCGGGGTGTGGAGCCCTGTGCTTCTGCCTCCTCCTGAAGCCTCAGGATCAGGAGTAAACCTCCAAAGAGGTGCAGATCCCCACCACAATCCAGCAGTGACACCAGGATGCCTCATCACGGGACTGTTTTAGAGCTGATGGGGAGTGGCAGCAAGGCGACAAGAACAGGGCACACACCCTGGATTCCTATTCCTCCTCTTCCTCCCAGCACACCCAAGTCCCTGACTCACATATCACTGCTGGCCGAGGGCTTGGGACAGTTCTGTGTGGGTAGCATGGCCTCCATGATCTCATTGAAGCGAGTGTTCCCAATGCTAACAGCCAGCTAGGGAGAGAGGAGAACAGAGAACAGAGGGACATGACCGTTCCTGGCCACAGTTGCCCTGCTCCAGCCAGATCCCATCCCAGAAGGAAGGAATCCACTGGATCCACCCAGGGCTTTCCCAGTGCAGCATCTCTGCCAGGATGATGCTCTCTTATGGCAATGGAAATCTGTTTTAGGAGGGGCCAGCAGCCCCTGACTTGGCAAATGGCTTTGTAGAGCCCCCCTTGCCCAGACCATTGCACTGGGGAAACTGAGGCAAGTTTGCAAGCCCTGGAGCAAACTGGGGACAGATGGGATGGAGGAGAAGGAATGACCCCTGCATCACAGGAGGTTTGGGAGACACAAAGGGTGGTTCCCAGGGGCCAGGAGACCTCCAGGCTCAGAGAGCAGCTTACCAGCAGCTCAGAGGTGCTGAGAACATCCAGAGTGAGGGACTGGATGCGGGAATAATGCACGCCCAGCTCCCTATGGATACCAGAGCACTCGATGCACGTCAGGATGCCAAGGTTCGTAGAGAGCCATGTGGGATCTGCAGCGGGAGTGGTGCAGAGCTCAGCACCACGCCCAGCCCCCAAAGATGCTGTGACCCCCATAACAGCTGGCTCAAATCCAGGGTGGGGGGACACCCCAGGCCCTGACGTACCTGGGGCACCGCAGTCACAGCACTGCTTGTTTCCTGGCATGTTCTTCACCTCACTGATAACCAACCTGGTAAGCTCCTGCATGCTGCTGTCCAACCCAATGCCTGCTGCCATCCCGCCGCTGCCCCCATCTCCCTTGAAGGCATTGCTCAGGGCTTCATCCTTGCTGTTCTGCAGTACCGAAACCCACCTAGGGGAGGAGGAAGAGGAGGATGGCAAAGGCAGAGCAGGATCTGGCACGTGAAGGAGGAGGGATGGGCTGTGGCACTTACACAACACACTCCTGCTCATCTTCTGCTTGGAAGTGGTATGTCCTGTTGTCTGCAGGGATGGGGAGAGAGGGGAGAAAGTGAAAGGAGAGAAGCTGTGCCTGCCACATCCCTTGAATTGTTTAAGCCTGGAAGGGGCTTGATGCAATCTGGTCTAGTGGAAGGTGTCCCTGCCCATAGTGTGGGGGTGGAACAAGACAGTCTTTAAGGTTGCTTCTAACCCAAACCATTCTAAGATTCTGTGGTCTAGGGATGCCCAACACAGCAGGAATCGTCTGAAATCTCTTCAAAGAAGCTGCTTAATAACAAATTAAATTACTGCACATCACTCTCCCATCAACTGAGCCCTGTCACAACCTCTTTTTGTCTCAGCTTTTAAGATCTCCTTGGAAAAATTGGTCCTTTGTCTGTAAAGACAGCCAGGAAGACACCCAGAGACAGATTTAAAGCCTTTAAAGAGGGTTCCAAGGTGTTACACAGGTAAAACCCACTCCAAAAAGGGAGAGGTCACACCACAGCCTCCTCCTTCAGGTCAAACACCTCACCCCAACCACAGCACCTCATCCCAGGCACTCACGTGTCACCAGGTCAAAGCATTTCTTCTCCTCAGCATGGGGCCGCACCTGGCAGGTGAGGAGGTTCAGCTTCACAGGGGGACGGTTTATCTGCAGGGTGAGAGGACCAAGGTGGGTTAAAAGATCAGGAAGGGATGGAATGGGCATCACCAAGGGATGGGCATCACCATCTCCAATAGCAACTGTGGTGGTACAACCACCACCACAGATGGTTTCTCTTGGGATAACCATGCAAATCAGAGCCTGTCTGACCCATTTGAGAAGAACAGGGACCCTTTGCAGGAGAACACGGCTCCAGGATGTCCCTCCGTCCCTCCTGCAGTTTCCAGCCTCCAACGCCAGGGGACAGCCCTTCCCTCCCAACCAGCCCCATCTCCTTTGGGCTTGTCTGGACCCTCATCGTCCATCTCACTGCCCCAACCGAGTTCACCCTCCTCTCCCATGGACTCCTGGGGATCACCTTTGGACCCCTGTCAGACATGGGGGACCACCTTTGGACTGTCCAGTCCCATCCTGTATTGAACTTTAAGCCAGGCAGATTTGTGACCAGTTTGGGAAAAACTAAACCTGAAATCCAATGGACACCAAGCCCCAAAGGGTGCACAAAGAAGGGTCAGGGCTGCAGCCCCCCACGCTCCCCACCGTGCTGTGGGAGATGGTCAGGCAGCCGTACTTCACACCACACTTCCTCTTCTGCCATACTTTGCGGATCCTGAGAAGGAGGAAGAGGAGTAGTGAGGATTGCACATCTGCAATCGCCCACATCCACATCCCAAACTAGCTACGACAGAGGCCTAATGGTGTGCTGGACATGGGGTTATATTTTCTCTAACTCGTAGATTGCTAAATGTCCTGTGAGCTGGATTCCAGCTCTGGAGCCTCCCATGAGTGTTGATAATATGGGGATGAAGCCAAGAGCTCTCTGGAATAACACTCATCCTCACCCATCACTCTTTTTGTACAGGAATCCTGACTTCTCTGTCCCATACTGCTTGTTGCCTTGGTGCTGGTGGATACTGTAGCCACTGCCAGAGTTCTTCCTGCTCAAGTTTTCCTGAAAAAAATACGATTTAAAAGCAAAGTGAGAGGCACAGAGGCAGTTGCTGCCCCAAATGACCTTGTCCTTATGGGAGTCCAATAGGATGCCAGAAAGCCCCATGCCCTCCCAGCATCCAAATGTCTCTAGGTCCCTGGACAGGTTAACCCAGCTCCCTTCTCCCTTCTGCTCCCCATCCCCAAATTAACCCTAGGGTACACAGCACCCTCCCGATGCTCCTTCTCAGCTCTTCCCTGCCCGTCTGGGGGGGGCGGGTCTCACCTCCTTGTTCTCCAGCTGCAGGACGCTGCGGAGTGAATCGCGGGTCTGCGTGAGTTGCTTCACCTCCTCCTCCTGTGCTTGGCGGAGCTGGAAAGGGAGCAGCTGCCCTCACTGCTGCGCTGAGAGCAGGTGTTCTCAGGGGCTGGCACGGGGACAGGGGGGTGGCATCTTGGGAGACATGAGGGGCACTGGATGGCAGTGTGAAGGCCTTACCGCATGGAGAGACACAGCAAGCTTCTCAATGAAGGGGTAGAGGTTCTGGGCAGCCTTCCAGCCATCTTGGAAGAAACTGAGTGTTTGTTGAGGGTGATTAAGATGCAGATGGGAAGATGGAGGGAAAAAAGAGGGTGTTTAGAGAAAATGTGGCAGGGGATCATGGCAATCTCCTCCCTGGAAGGCCGTGCTTGCTTTGTGGCTCCCTAGCTATGGGAATCTGGAAAGTGCCTAGCAAAGGCCAAGCCCAGCCCATGGGGTTTGGATACCCCAAATATTTGGGGTGTTTGGGATGCAGGATTGGCCTCTTGTTTAATCCCAGCTCAACTCACTGGTGGAGCAGTGCTGCCACCAGAAGCCACATGCTGGGGGGTCCCTGGAGCACAGTCCCAGTCCATATGCTTTTAACCTCAGTGACTGTCTCAACCTGCCTCAGTTTCCCCACTTGAGAGCTGGAGGACATGACAACACCCACACACTGCTATTCTAGCCTCATGGAGCAACAGGAAAGGCAAGGGGATGTTGATCCTCCAAACACCCTCGTTACAAGCCCCATGGCTAATGCCAGAGCTGCTCAGCTGAGCTCACCCCTGGAAAACTATCCAGAAACCAAATAATCAGATATATCTCAAGCCAATACCCCTCCCGCAGCCCCATGGACACGTTTACAGCTCCTCAAGACAACAAAGCACATTTCAGCTCCTCAGAGAAAACTGAAGAGCGATGAGCTCTGCCCAGTATCTCCACCAACAGCTTTATGGGTCTGGGATGAGAGTATAAGACCCCAGACCCTTGTGGGATCACCCAACAATAACAAGTAGCCCCACAGAACCATCTTGATCTAGGTGGCACCTACTTGTGCTGAGCATGGAAAAACTTGATGAGGCTCTGCAGGAAATCTGGTCCCTGCTTCATCTGAGACTCACTGGCTTTCAGCAGATACTGGAGGGGGAGAAGACACCTGGTTAGGTGACAGAAACAAGGACCAGCTGAAAATATTCCAAAGGAAAGAGCAAGAGCCTGAACAGCCCTTGATTCCCTTCCCAGCACAGGCAGGAAGGTTAAAACACTGGCTGGGTTTCAAGAAGCCGAGTCATGATGTTGGATTTGAAGGCAGCTCGCTGGGGACCACCCTCAAAAAACCTGGCTCTGGAAGTTCTCCAAGACTTGGAAAGTTCAAGGACTGAGGCAGGCCTTCAGGGTTTCCAGCCAAGCATGCTTCTCCCACTGCTCATTACTTCTGGAGTTAATAAATAACTGAAACTCAAGGCAGCTCGTGGAGGGGAAAAAAACAACAAAAACAACACAACAAAAAAGGCCGAATGTTTTTTAAGACATGGCCTTTTTATTCCCAAAAAATCAGATTCCAAGAAGCAAGCACCTGCAGCACACCAGCACCTGAGGCCTGCTGAGGTGCCCTGTGGGATGGGGAATTTCAGCTTTATGCATCAAACCCATCCATCAACTGCAGGCGGGGAAGGAAAAACACAGTCTCACTCACCCTAAGCAAAATAAGGAGGGGAAGAGATTTTTCCCCTGCAAGCTCCTCTCCAGCTGCTGGAATGGTTTTGAGTGGGGACCGAGGGGAGGGGAAGGCAGCCCTGAGCTCTGGGGGCTTTCCAGGGTGGGATAGAGCTCCTGGAATGGAGTCTCCCCATGCCCCATGCACTCTGGACACCCTGAGAGGTCACTGGACTGGGGACGGTTGTTAAACTGCTCTGTGTAAGCTGGAGATGCCCAAGTCAATGTCACAGAGCATGACTATACCCCTGGAACCACGTCCCACCTAGAAAAGGCCACATGTGCCCAGTTTCCATGGGATGTCCCTGCATCCCACAGTGACAGTGGCAGCAGAGCGTCCCAGGCAGCACTGACTGGGACCCATGAGCCAAGGATGCTCCCAGCACCCCTGGGTCCATGTCCAACTGTTCCCACAGCCCTGAGGGTGTGAGATGGCCCACAATGGGGAGACACAACCACCCCATGGGGTGAAACAGGACCCTGTTCCCCGCCCAGGAAGTAGCAAAACCCACTTTCCTATAAACCCATATGCATGGGCACCCCAGCCCCCGAGAAGAATGTCCCTCCCATTTCCAGGGCCAGCAGTAGCTCTCATGCATGCAGAAACACAGGTGCGCATGCCCTGCTCCAGTTCCCACCTCTCCATGTGCAGTTATTTATCCCACAGTGGAGCTATTCAAGGGAGTGACTCATCTGGCTAGGTCCCAGCTCCGAGGCAGGCACAGCCTCCTTCCCACAACCCCTGTTCTTTGCTGGGCAGGCACGGGACGGCACCAGGATCTGGCCCTCAGGAAAATGGGAGACCTCTAGGACAACCCATTGCAGACTTGTTCCCTGCTCTGCCACCCTCGAGGTTTATGGGGCTGCTGAGTGTCTGGCAAGAGTCCACCTGGGTTCCTCCTTGCTGTGGGGCTTTGAAATTGAGTCTCCATCCTTCACTTATTCCCATCTCACCTCCTGAGCATGGACTGCAAGGACCCAGAACTGCCAGGGATCTGAGGTGACTTGTGACCCCTCACCAAAGCCAGGAGCAGTTTTGAGGATAGGTGAAAAGCACTAAGTCAACCTCATGGATGTTAGCCAAAATTCTCACTTTTTACCCAAATGCAACCCAAAGAAGGGTAGGAGCAGGGCTGGGGGGGACATGGAAGGAACCCCCAGGCCACCCTTGTGGGGCACCATGGGTGCTATTTGGAGCTATATTGCACAGGGACCTCAGTATGGGGACGGGATGGGGATTCCTGAGCTGGGACCATGCAGGGGCACAATGGGTTGGGGATGGATAAGGGTGCCCCACAGCATACAGGTGGAGCTGCTTTGGTGTTGGATACCAGGACAGACTGGTGTCCCTACACAGCTTCTAGAAAAACGGTCTCCTGTGCCCCCCTGGGACTCAGTTCCTGAGGGAGAACAGTGTCCAATCCCCCTGGCACAGCCCCCACCTCGCACATGTGGAACTGCAAGAGCCGCCGCTCCTTCTGCATGTCCTCGGCCATCTCCGCTGCTGCTGGCTCAGCCTGGATGACCCCAGCCAAGCGGGCTCGTTCCTTCTCCTTCTCCATCTTTCCCCTGGGGAATGGGATGGAGGTGGGTTGGGGACATCCCTGTTTTGAGGATGCCAGATAACCCCATGCCCTCCCAGCATCCAAAAGTCTGCAGGTCCCTGAAGGGGATGCAATCTAAATGTCTATGGGTTAACCCAGCTCCCCTCTCCCTTCTGTTCCCCATCCCCAGTCAACAGGCTACAGTGGGGATGGGATCAGGAGAATCATCTCCAGGCCCTCTTCAGCCCCTCTCTCTTTCTCCTTTGGGAAAAGCTGGACCAGAACCCTCCCCATGATAAACTGGCACCATTGGTGCCTTGCTCCAGCCTGAGGACAAAACACCTTTGTGCAGAGTGGTATTAGGTCTATTTTGCCAGAGGCAGCATGTTGCTTACACTTTGGTCTCATAATCCTTCCAGGCCTTTTCAATCTGTTTCTTGGAATCCTGTGGCAAAGGAAAGAGGGGGTGGCAGCTGTCAGGGAAAGCAAAAGAGCTGGCAGCACTAAAGGGGCTGAGAGCTTTGCTCTGCATTGCTGCACCCCTTGAGGGTGAGGGGTGTCAGTACCAGGTGTTCACCCCTCACTTCTGTCACTCCCAACCCTCACTGCTTCCTTCCAGCCTCTGGCACTGGCTTCTTCCTTCTCCTGGGCACAGACACGAGCTGAATCCATCCCAGGAGTCTCGCTGCAGAATGTAGCCAAATGAGTGACCCTGGGGACAGGACTTACCAGGCGGCTATCCTTCAGCTGCCCCTTCAACAGGCTGTCCAGGGGGAAGGACACGATGTTATTCAGGTTCTGCACCTGCAGAAGGCAGAGATAGAGTCACCCCATGGCAGGAGATGTCAGGGAGCTGGAGCCCCAGGTCCTTCTCAGTGCCAGGGCTCTCCTCCCAGCTCCATCACTGCCCCAGGAAGGGTTAAAGAGGCTGGAAGTGGGGCTGAATCCAGGATCCTGGCAGAGGGCATGCTGGGGCTTGTTGGAGCTGGCTGCAAGATGTCTGACAAATGTGGCCCTTCCCACAAACCACAAGCAGCACCACAGCTGCCGAAATCAAAGCTGTCTTCCCCCACTGACACCTCATCCCTGTCCCCGTCCCTGTCCCCAGCACCCAACAACACAACCAGCCCCTCCATGGTCCTGTGATACAAAGAGCTCACCCATGTCAAAGGGGCTTTCCAAAATGCCTCCCTTTGCTGGGGTCTGGGGATAGCACTGCAGCCACCGCCATCCCTACCAGTGCTGTGCAGGGGTCCACAGTGGGGACATGGGAGCCCACTGCTGTCCTGGCATCCTTCAGCAGCCCATGGAGATTTTTTTAGGCCATTTTAGAGCTGTGAGAGCAGCTCCAGCACCCACACAGAACTTCCCCAGTGCACCCAGATTTCTTTTAAAAGGTTTTGGTCCTCAGCAGCACTTGGGGAGAAACCGAGCCTCAGGGCACAGGACCACCCCCAAACCAGGGGTAACGGGGAAGCTCCAGGGAAACTCAAGGAGGGGAAACGCAGCTTTTTGGATCTGGTTGAGGATCTTCACTCAGAAGAACTTCACTCAGCAGCATGTGGGGCAGGAGGTGGGGACCCTCAGAGTTGGTCCAACTCCTCAATCAGGACAGTTCTGCAGAGCCCTGCTGAAGCACAGGAATCCAGCAGGCTATGACAGCCAGGATGAGGAAGGGGAGGAGCAGGGAGGCCCAGGTTAGGGTAACTGGGAGAGGAAAACGCCAAAAATCTGAAATTCTTGCTGGGGGAAGGGCAGCAGAAATCACTTTCCTCGTTATGCAGAGCCAGGGGCCAAAATCTGGAGAGGGGGATTTGAAAGAGAAGAGAGAGAAGGCCACATGGCACCCCCCCAGGGATTTGCTGCTGGGCATGCATGAACCCAGCTCCATTCAGGAGCTGAGTTTTCCATCAGAGCCATTCCTGGCCCAGCTCACAGCCGCCTCTGCCTGCTCCCCATGGCCCCACTATGCAGCCCAGCATGGCTTTGATTTACTCTTGGCAAGCTAGATCACAGATGCAATTGATGTGAGAAAAAAACAGAAAGCAAGAAAAAAGGCAAAAAATTAAAATAGCAACCCCAGATTCCCATCAGATCCCAGTGTCATTGGCCCCAGAGAGCTGGGAGTGAGCTACAAATCCAGTAACATGGGTATCAGATGGTATGAGAGCACTGGGAATGTGTCCCTGAGCACAGGGTGGGAGGTAGGGATTACTGCATGTAGTGGAAGGCAGCTAAACTGGAAAGAGGGGAGCTGCACTGGTTGGTATGGGATTCCAAACCCAAGTGGATTTGGGACAGCTTACCAGGTTCTTGAAGAGTGCAGTAACCTCGCGGGTGAAGACAGCCAGGTTTAGGAAGCCGGTGGAGAGCTCATGGTTGTTCTGGGAGAGGTGGTTGTTGCCAAAGTTCTCCAGGGCCTCGCTGTACTGTTCCTCATTCTCCACATGAGCTGTATGGGGAGACACCGGAAAGGGACATGGGGTGACCCTGCAGCACCCGACACATCACGGTCACAGTGTGAGGTCCTAACATCTCTTCATCCCTTTGTAACAGAGCTGGGCTGATCCTGATGCAGGACAGCAGCAGTGCCCCAAAACAACCTCTTTAAGGTTCTCAATTTTCATTTTTATATATATTTCAGATAGATTTTGGCATATAAGCACATTACATTAAGGTCGCATCATGAGGTTCCACCAGCAGCCAGTACCCACCTCCCCATGTACTTTTTTTGGGTTTGCTACCCACCTCTGCAGCAAAGTTGGACTGATCCTGCTGCAAGACAGCGCTGGAATATCCAAAACAACCCTCCTAAGGCTCTCCATTTCCCTCTTTACATCATTTTAAGACAATTTTTGGCACCTTAGCATGTTGCCAGACTGGCAGGCTGGTAGCACCCAAGTAGCAAATACCCCCAGGCTCACCAACACCCATAGCTGCCAGGTGTGACCACTGTTGCTGGAGGATAGGACTATCACACCCCCCAGCCCCACACTCTGGGAATGCCCATCGTCTCCCAAAGCCCAACTCACTGAGCCCAGAGATGTGAATGGCTTTCACATATTTCCTGATCCTCTGGAGCACAGCTTGGTCCCCATCCAGGCTCTGCAATAGCAAAGAGAGAAAACAAATGGAGCTCATTAGCCAAGCATGGCTGCCACTCCCCCAGCCCAGCTGCCCTTGGAAAGGCTGCAGCTCTGCTGTGCAGATGTGTGGGGTGGGATCCAAGCTCCCAGGGCTGGGAAAGGAGCTGGAGGCATCCTGGGGATCCAAGAGCCACAGCGTCCAACCAGTCCCCTTCCAGGGCTGTGGTCTCAATGGCTTTGCTGCCAAGCAGGGTTTTGGCTGGCCCCAGACAGGAGGGTTTGAGCAAGACAGTAGGAGGAGGTGAGAGGCTCTTTGGATCCCAGCAGCTTCTATTAACCATGGAAAATGCCTCACTGGCTCTTGCAAGGACTGTTTCAGCAAAGGAGGGGCTGAAGCATCATGTAGCACGTCAGCCCATCCCCATGGCTCAGAACCAGGCAAGATGTGTGAGGGTGCCCAGCTCCCCACAGAGCCAAAGACAGGACCCACCTCCTGCTGAGGTGACCTAAATCCCATAAACCCTTGTGCCGGTTGTGTGCTAAACCACAACAATCCCACAACGAGGCATGTGGCTTTCCAAACCCTCCCTAGCTCATGCAGGGTCTTGCCCTGGTCCCCTGCATCACAAGTCTCCCTGCAGCCCCATCAGCCAGATCCTGCTCTGGTTTAGAGCTCTCCCCATCTCCTCATCTTTTCTTACCTGTACAGCCCTGATTTGCCCTGCGAGCACCACAACAAATTCAACCCCATCCAAGCACTACGACAAACTCAGCCGCACTCAACCAAAGGGCAAGGGGCTGTGGTGCTGCCAGCCCAAGCATCTGAGCACATGCTGGTCCCAGCATCAGGAAAGGGTTAAGGGCGGCTTGGCTGCAGGTACCAGAGCCATGATAACAGGCTGGAAATATTTAGAGGGCGTGAGCAGCAGAAAAGGCAGGGATGAAGCCTCGGAGGAATTAAAGAGGCTCTCTCTCTGCTTGAGCTCTGTCGAAGGTTTTCACCTGATGTCAAGGCTGATTTCCTGACACCAGGGTCAGGTCATCAGATGGGATTCTGCCAGGATGAACTGGCTGGGAGCAGACTGGGGCTGAGGTGGGAGCCAAACCCCCTGCTCAGGGGAGTCTTGCAATGCTTCTCCAGTGGGGAGAATGTTGGAGTGCACCAAAGCCTCCCATGGCCCTTCTCTGTGTCAAATCCAGGTGCACCAAGCTCTCCAGAGCAGAGCTATTCCCTGCCTCTGGAGGAAGCCAGGGTTGGATGCCTGGATGCTCCAGGCTTGCAAACCTAGCAGAGTCTTAGGAAGGGGAAACTGAAGTAGCATGAAACGCTTTAGAAACATCACTGGGCAAGTGTGGGAAGATGCTCGTTCAAGTGCCCAGGGTAGAGCAGCTCATCTTGGTGCCAGCTCACAGCTGCAGGACGCAGAATGCAGGGCTGGTGCAGAGCAGGCATGATCCAGGGAAGGACACAAGGGCTTTTACGAAGGGGTCCGTGAGTCAACCAGTGGGCACAGTGCAAGCAGAGACAAGTGTTTGGGTGGTAAACACAGAAGGAATCACTGTGCAGTGCTGTTGGCAGCTGCAGGCAGCACTGGCACCCCTGATGTACCAGGCACAGTCCTTGGCTGATCAGGAGTGGAGGGGCAGAGATGTCTGGAGCCCCCGATGGCACCCATCATCCCCCAGGCCCAGCTCAAGGGCTTCTGGTCAGGGGCAGCTGAGGACACTGTCACAACAGGGCAGAGCAGGAGGAATTCCCCATGGGACGGAGGAAGGGATGAATGCACACCTGCACCACAGCTAGCTGGGTTTGCAGCCTGGGGACCTCAGGCAGGACGCTCAATGGAGGCCATTCTTCTACCTCCCCCACTGCTGCCAGCTCGTGCTACCCGGCGAAGGAGTCACCACGGGTGCAGAGCCAAGCTGCCAAGCCAGGAGGAGTTGTATTGGCACTGTTCTGGAGGACAGGGTGAACTGGGAGCTCATCTGCCAGCAGCCTCTGCCATGTCATCCTGCCCCAGCACAGAAGTGCCCAGTCCCCTCTGACATGCATATAGCACCCAACACCAACCACCAAGGGCTGGATTCAACCTTCCAAGCCCACTGCAGGGACCTCAGGTTCTGTCTCCACAATTGCCCCAAGGATCCTGAAATCCCAAAAACCCCTGAGAGGGGAGAGCCCTCTTTAATCTTAGGAGGTCAACTGAGGCACAAAGCAGCTCTGGCCAACATCAGGATGTCTTCTCAATGTTGAACAGCAACCTCCAGTCCTTTCCCTGCTCACCCCTGCCTGTGATTTGAGACCTGCTCCTGTCTCGGGTGCATGAGGCCATGCTGTGTCCCAAGGTCCTGGTGGGATACAGCCATCCCTTCCTAACTAGCAGTCACTGGAGTAAGACATCCTTTGCTCCCTCCTGCTCACCAAGCCACCAGCCAGTATGTGGGGTGCTGACAGGAAAGGCCATAGCTCAGTTTGGTCAGAGAGTGTCTCGCTCATCCCCCAGTGATCTCCAAACCTGCCACTGATTATCCCCTTTGCCTCATGCTGTTGGGGCTCTAAGGATAGCATGGAGCTGGTTTGCTTGGATTTCCCTCCTCCCCTCATGTTGGGACCAGGAGGATGCCAAAGGTTTGGCAAGGGTTTGGCCCCCTCCCCAGAGCCTCTAGTGGTATGGGGGGCTCAGCCCTGTGCCCTCCATGGCACATACAGCAGCAGTCATGATTCCCAGCTCTCTCTCATGCTTGCTGGAGCTTTACTAAGCCAATCCCAGAGACCCCCTGTCATTCCTGAGGGACACGTCTCCCCTGTCTCTGCACCCCTTAACCACAGTCTCTCCAAGCAGCCAAACAAAATTCCTGCTGCTCCCTCCTGGCTGGAGCTGCCTCTCCCTTCCCCACTGGGAAGAGGATCCATGGCAGTGACCAGCATGTGTTGACAGGGACCAGGATGCTCCATTGTGTGTTCCCAGATTTCCAGGCCTGGAACACCCATCCCATGGCCCCCAGGTATCCCAGCAGCCCTGGCACCTGGGGCCCCACACTCCCTGCCAGCTCTGGCTCTCCTTCAAAGTCATTCTTTAGCTAAGAGGAGTTGGCAAAAGCCACATGACCAGCTGGAAACTGCCTTTATTCCAGGCTGAAGGAGGATGAAGGCACCCTACCACTTGGTCCACCCTTCTCAAAAAAGCTGCTGATGATTTTGGGGAGAGGCTGAAAATACTCCCCTGGCTTTGATCAAGGAGGAGACCCCCGCCAGCAACAACACATCCCATCGGGCTGGCTCCAGCACAGGAGCTCGATAGTGGATGGAAATGTGGGGCTGATTCTCTGGGGGCATGTCATGGGCCCCGGGACAGTGTTGGTATGCTGGTCCCGATGGGAAAGGATGCCCTGACCCCGGGGAGGGATGCCTTGATCCCAGGGAGGGAGAGGTGGGGACGCCCTGGTCCTAGAAATAGGGAAATAGGCCGCCCTGGCTTTGGGGTGGTGGGAGGTATGTCCTGGCCGCGGGGGACACCTGGAGCTTTAAAGAAG